CGAGACAGCGCCTGAAGCGCCCTGGGGCTGAACTGGGGCCTGGGGCTGAACTGGGGCCTGGGGCTGAACTGGGGCCTGGGGCTGAACTGGGGCCTGGGGCTGAACCGGGGCCTGGGGCTGAACTGGGGCCTGGGGTTTTAACCTGGGCCTGGGGTTTTAACCCGGGCCTGGGGTTTTAACCCGGGCCTGGGGCTGAACCGGGGCCTGGGGCTGAACCGGGGCCTGGGGCTTTAACCCGGGCCTGGGGCTGAACCCGGGCCTGGGGCTGAACCCGGGCCTGGGGCTGAACCCGGGCCTGGGGCTGAACCGGGGCCTGGGGCTGAACCGGGGTCTGGGGCTGAACCGGGGTCTGGGGCTGAACCAGGGTCTGGGGCTGAACCGGGGTCTGGGGCTGAACCGGGGTCTGGGGCTTTAACCTGGGCCTGGGGCTGAACCGGGGTCTGGGGCTGAACCGGGGTCTGGGGCTGAACCGGGGTCTGGGGCTGAACCGGGGTCTGGGGCTTTAACCTGGGCCTGGGGCTGAACCTGGGCCTGGGGCTTTGACCTGGGCCTGGGGCTGAACCGGGGTCTGGGGCTTTAACCTGGGCCTGGGGCTGAACCGGGGCCTGGGGCTTTGACCTGGGCCTGGGGCTGAACCGGGGTCTGGGGCTTTAGCCCAAGTCTGGGTTTTACCCTGGCTCTGTGCCCATCAGGGTTCAATTTTGCTTGTGCCGTATTAAAAAAAAAAAAAAAGGTGCTTTTTTGTCCTAACAGTGCTCTGCCTATTAAAAACAAAAAAAGAGGCTTTGACTTCTCTGTGTGTTCAAAACTTACCATTACCGGTTTAATTTTCCCAGGATGTTTGTTTTTCTTATCTAAATACTTGCAACTGACTTGCTTGAATACTGAACTTGTTCAGAACATAATAACTTGACGCTTTCTATGTTTCACTTTCATCACTTGGGACACTCATGAGGTGTGGAAAAAATTGGAGAAATCTCAGATTCATACTTCGGGAGAAGCTGTTCTTGGCTTAGATGAAACTTTTCTAATATTGACTGTTCTTATTTGGAAATGTTTGGAGTCAAGTTTTGAAGTTTTTATCTTAATTTGCATTTTACTTGGTTAAGGATACATAATTTCGCCTAATACTCCTAGGGAACATATTAAAGAAGACCAAAATAAAGACACTGAAACAAGGTAGCAGCAAGTGACCCAAAATAAATGCTTTTGTGAAATGTTAGTGAGTGTAAGTTTGTTTGAAGCAAAATTTCCACTACGTTTTAAGAGATTTCAAGGAAACATCTTTCTAAATAAAAATGTGATTTTAGGCTTATTGCTGTAGTTGTAAGCCTGCGTTTGAAAATAACATTTGGAAACTTATCCGTTACTTTAATATCATTCCACTCCTGAAATATTTAATTTCTCAGTGTCACGTTTGGGTTCTCAGCCATGTTGCACTGAAGGAATTGGCAAACATTTGTTCTCAAGCTGGATGCCTTGTGTGATGTGCAGGAGTTTTTTCATAACGTAAAATACAGCCCCCAGCCTGATTTGAGGATGACATTACAGGTGGTTTTACTGTACAGGAGACAGGGAGGTGCTGGTGACAGAGCTCCAGAGTGCTTTTCTTCAACATACCAGGAAAACTGAGTAACTTTACCTCATGCAACTTGTGAGCTGTTTCTAAGTGGCTAAAAGGAGCTTCCAGACTTTGTATCACTAAACTTGTGATCTAGTATTCTACCTTCAGGAGCTTTGAGTGCAGAGGAAGAAAATTGCATTGTATTTTAAACCACTGCTTTTCATTGAAAGAACCGTGGGTAGGAGAGAGAGGGATGTACAGAGTTATATCTTAGACAGCCATGAGCTGTGAGGGAATGATAAGGGTTTCCTTGATGGAATTGTGATCAATGTTTTATCCTCATATCCCTTTAGAACTGGAAGGTTCTCATGAAAAGATTGTAAAGGTACTTGGGAGCCTTTTCTTTGTTTCTTTAAATGATTTCTGGAGATTTGGTCTCCAATTAAAGGTGATAGCATATCAGAATACTGTGATCTGACACTTACAGACTAACTATATAATGGAGTATTATTTTTAGTATTCTGTAGTCAGTTTATTGTGTTTCTATAAGGAAATATTTGACCTTTCTGAGAAAAGTGTTTTCAGGCCATCTAGAGAACTCGGGGGGGTGGGTGTGGGGAAGTGTATAGACAATTTTGTTCTACTAATTTGCCTAAAACATTTAAGCTCTGAGCTTATTTTACTCTAAGAAGCCACCTATTTCTTAAAACCAGGCAATCATGTTACATATTTTTTTTCACTTGCAGTGTCAGAAGAGATTCCAGATCAAGATTATAGTCTTAATCTACTTAATTGTAAAATGTAATGTGTAACACTTGATTTTATGATGGTCTGTATAACATAATAAGTACTAACATGCCCTGAGAGACCTGACCTGACTGAGGGGAGAGGCACACAAGCAAGCAGTAAAATACTTACATACATATATAAGGCCTTGGCTTTTTGCTTGCAAAGTCACCAGAATTTGGAGTGGAAACCAGGAGGAGTACTATGGAATGCTGGCTCATGCAAAGCCTTCTGAGATAATGAGAGACACAGAAAGAATCTTTTTGATTTATGAACCTCTTTTTTCTGAGCATGGACTTGCTGTAACTTTGTTTGTGGCCATGGCAAACACTACTGACTTTACACAAAGGCAGATCATTGCCTAGAGTCATGTACTAATGTTGATGGGACCAAACTTCTGCCTGGGAGGAAGGCTGAATAATCACAGTTATTTAGCTTGAGCTAATTTCTGCTAATTTTAATGTTAACTTTAGAATTACATTTCTTGTTCAGTCTTGATATATTCCCTTTTCCATGTACATTTGTGCCACTTTGCAGGCTGAAGTCTTGTCTCCAGTGTCATGAAATAAATCCTCAAGTTTTCACTTTGTTGAACAGGAGAATTTAGAGTTGCTGTTATAGAAAGTCAGTGTGTGTTAAGGATATTCAAGAATATTACTGTTGACTTTGAATTCTTAAAAGAGGTGATAAGTACTTGGCATCATAAAAACCTCAGTGAATCAGGCTTTACAGGTGCCTAACAAAGGTTTCTTGTGTGAAACTGTAAACTGGTTACTTTTACAGTCAGGAACTTGGACTAGCTTATATCTTAGTTTACAGAAATGGTTTCTAAGCACTGGTACTTGTGAACATAATTGGTTCCAGCTCTGGGGAATGCACTGAATGCACAAGAGAAAAGGGAGAACTTCAGGACTGTGTGATTGTCGACAAGTATTTAATTGGACTAATTTCTTAGTATTTTGCTAAGAAAATCTACATCAGGTAATGGTTTTGTGCAGTACAGTGATGATTATGGCTAATTCCCCTCGTGTCTCTGGACCAGGCAATATTGTTGAGTGTATCCTTTATCCTGGTTATACTACAGATTTTCTGAAGGTTTTCTTATTCAGGTAACAATGGAGAGCAAAGGTGGAGAGGTGTGAAGGCTACTAAAGTGGTTCTGAGCTAATGAATTTGGTGTTATGTAAGATTAGCTGTATTGCAGTGAGCCTAATGCAATGTTCTCAAGGTAGTTTCCAAGTGTTTCTTACTGTACTTCCATTTTCTTCTGAGCTTTCTTTTCCTTAATCCTAAACATTCATTGTCAGAATATTATTTTCAAATAATAATAGCTTTTTTTCTTTTCTTTTTTTTTTTTTTTAGTAAGTAGTGGTCGCTGGGATGTCACATTTCACTCTTTCATCTCAGTTAATTTTTGGAGTAGACCCCTTGACAATATACAGCAATGAAGACTGTTCTCCATNATCTAAAAGAATGGCATAATTCTTGTTGTTTCTTTTTAAGGTCAATATAATGGTTTGTTAATTGGAGTGCACTTTCAGTGTGCTACAGTGTTGCAAGACTAATCAGTAGGAAATCTTGTTTGGTTGGTGGTGGTGATTTTTCAAAGTGATCACTTGATTGGCAGTGCAGGGGATGGTTGGTAGTAATTTAAAGAGGTTGCTTTGGAGCTGATTTGTACAACTGAATAATTTGTGCCTTTTTTTTTTTTTTTTTTTTTTTTTTTAGTAAGCAGTGGTCGCTGGGATGTCACATTTCACTCTTTCATCTCAGTTAATTTTTGGAGTAGACCCCTTGACAATATACAGCAATGAAGACTGTTCTCCATTCTAATTTTCTTCCCTTTATCCCTTATCCCAACAGTTCCCTTGTAAACTGTTTTAAAAAAATTGGTGCAGGTTCATTAAGCAGCACAGAAATAAGCTTTCTTGTCTAGACACCCCTGAAGATTCCGCATAACGCGTTGTGCACTTGATGTATCTAGATAAGACATGAGGATTTC